AAAAAACTGTGGTTTAGTGTAATTGTCACTGTCACTTAGTGGAAATATACATGTGTATATGGTCAAATCCTGCTTTAGACTTTATCCTCTATACCAGAGTTTCATTTTAAAGCGGGAAGAAGGACTTCCAAGTGCAGCTAAATGAAAATCTTTGTGAAAAATAAAAATAAATACTACATTCATTATTACATTACCTATCAAAATATGCTCACATAGACAATGTCAAATGTCTGATTTGGTAAAGAAAAGGAATAGTTAGACTTTGTTGAGAGTTTCCCAAAATGTCAAACTGTTTATTTCAACTGCACAGTAGTTGTGAGTTTTGTGCTTCTGTCTTTCTAGTAAACACCTCGGATGTCCTGACCATCGAGAGTGAGACGGAGAATCGTTTTGTTCTGGAGCAGCTGTGGACGTCGGGGTTCCTCCACCACACCGTGTGGTTGGGGATGTACTTTAACATCGACAGTAAGAATCTATAACTCTCGTACCCATCAAGTGATCACATCCCCCAAAATCCCATTTAATTATTTGTTGCCTCTGCTTTTAGCTGATTCTATGGCCTGGGTAGACGGGTCACCCATAGACTACACCAACTGGCTCAACCAGGCCCCGGACCCCAAGCTGCTGACCGCTGACGCCTGTGTCACTACCAGGGTGGTGGATGGAGTGTGGCACCTGTCCCAGTGCAACGAGAGGCTCGGCTTTGTATGCAAAACCACCTCAGGTAGCTTCATACGGAATCTGAAAGAATATTTGTTGCCCTTTATTAAACTTGTACAACATATTGGAATATTTGATGAATTGCTTATGTCGCTGTAGATCTCCAAATTGATTATAGAGTCATATGTCATTGTTTTTTGACTATATGGTACCACTGAGACAAAGTGGACAGTGCAAATAAAAAAAAAAAAAAACAATTACCATTCCAGAAAGGCCCGGAAGATATTTCAACAATGCCACTCATTTTGCAACTGTATGCACAAAGATGTGTAAGGTTCATTACCTTTTTAGAGCTTTAGATTTCAGTTTAACAGTCTGAAAACCAAGTCTGTGCTTGTCACAGAAAGATACGATCTATAATATGGCTATGTATGCCAAGTTTCAGTTTCACAGTTGCACACACATTCAAGTTTGACAACATAGCTGGAAATACGAATTGGCATAGTAAGGTTGTTTTTAAAAAAAACAGATTTTAATTGTGCTTGCACCATTTTCTTTTTTAACAAACTCACACTTGATTGAGTCGATTTTCATCTGTGCTCAGACCTTTTGATCTGATTGCTCAAGTTGATACATTATAAGAAAAATTGAACTTCACTGTATGTGTTCTTTGCAGATATAATTACCGAGGTGGAAGTGGAACCGCTGAATGGTAAGTGCACTTCAATGTGAACATATTACACTCTGGCTCGGGGCCATGAGCATTTAGTTTCACATTGTGGGGCTGTGCTCAGTAGAAGCTCAGTGAGGATACAGTCTGATATAATGTGCAAATTCATTGTTAACATAATCTGTTATAAAATGTGATGCATTTTACAAATATACAGTGGTGTAATTTACTAAAGTACAGTATATATTTGTGCAACATTAACAGGGAACATTTTGCTTCACAATGACTTCTTTTACTTTTGATGAATAAAGGATCTGAATACTTTTTCCACCACTGCCAAGTGTAGTTCCAATAGACTACATTTGAAAACAATAATATGACTTCACATAAGCTCTCATGTTGTGTGTTTTAGGTTTACACCATGGTGTCGTCCCCGCTGCGGTGCTAGTGGCTGTTCTAATCTTTGCCCTGCTGGCAGGAGCGATGTGGTTTGTGTACAAGAGGAGCGCTTCACGTTTTCACAGGCTTCCTACACTCGGCAGCGCTTATTACAGACAAACCAGCTCACAGGCCACAGAGTCGGATGGAAATGTGCTTATTACAGACCTGGAGGCTCCCTCGGGAGAATAGCACTCAATGATTTCCTTTAGGTCTCTGTCCGTCTCTCACAATTTCACCATCAGGTATGAATGCCACATGACTCTGTATAGCTGTGAATCCTCAGGACAGTGGTGACATGTTGACTTTTCCTTCTGTAATTAGAAAATGTGCTTGAAGGAACCACAGTTGGTCTCAGCAGTTTGCAATTATTCAAAACGTTTAAATGAGACAAACCTATGAGAAGATTTTGGTTGTTTGACACTGAAGAGCCAACATTGAAATGTCAAGACTAACAAAGTTCACATGAGTGAGTGTGTTGAAGAAGGGATGTTTGAGAGCTTAAAAAATGTTAGAAGAGGTACTGAACACTTGTTCTATGCTTGTTATAATTCAATTGTATAAGAATTTAAATAAGTTACAATTGGTAAAAACGGTATAAAGGAAAATGATGATTTGAATAATGCAGAAAGGTTTTCTCAACAAGGTTCAAACAGGTACTGTAAAAGAAAATATTGGTTTACTTGCCAAATGTATTTATTGGCATAAATAAGAGACAGATTGATGCCAAAATAGAAATTACAGTCATATTTGTGATACAATTTTGTGTATCTTGTTTAGAATTCAGGAGTTGTTGGAGCTGCGCACTTGGTACAGCAATGTTGTCAGTATTACTTTTGTATTTTATTTTTTTAAGTAACCATGCTGTATATAGATAAAAAAAGTGTCCTTTTATATGTTAAAGACTAACAGAAAATGTGTATGGCATAACTGATGATTGGATTTGTTCTCATTTTCCCTTTTGTCTTCTGATGCAAAATGTAATTTATATTTGCACAATTTTCTTTGTGTTTTAATAAATCTAAGTTAGGCCTAAGAGTTCATGTGTCATCACTATGTGCATAACAGAGAATGAGGAGGAATACAGGAAATCTTCATTGAATTCATTTCCCATTTTCAGACCATAAAACGACTTCACTTTTTTACTCCAATAGGACTGCAGAATGTCTACAAAGTAAAACCTGAAAAGGGGCCATTTCGTCCTAGAACATCCTTATTCCTTATTACTAAATAACAGATATGAAATCACTAAGGATATTGAACTATGTAGCCTACTATAGCTCTTAGGCTTTGCCGGGTCAATTTTTTTGCAGTTTTAGTAATTTGCTAACAACTTAGGCCACTCGTCGTTAATGGAGATGGTAAACCTAATACCGCCTTGCTTTTACTGTTTTACCATCATCACTATAAAGTCGAATATCAATTCTGATATAAGAGACACTGAAAAAACATTTATGTGAACAAAAACTATAATATATACTTAAAACAAGACTGCTTTTTGGACTTCTATGTTCAGTTTAAGCAGCTCCATTTAATAAGATATCTTTTCTTCTTGAATATTATCCTTAGTGCTTCATCTTCACATTGCAGTGACTTGGCCTACATCACTGACAAGACAAAACTAAATAAAGTGGATCCTAGTCTACCAGGAAATAATGTTGAGTTTGAAGGCCTTTGTGTGAAAATATATAAATAACCTAATGCTGATCTAGATATGCAGGCCATTAGATTGTCTTAAATAGGTGTTAGTGCTGGACATCATATAGAAAGGGAGAAAATTAGAGCAAAGTGCAGCTATTATTGACAGTTTGTCATTACCTTACATCCTGACAATGACAAACTGTCATTAATAGCTGTCAAGGTGATTAATAATTCACACCAAATGTTAACATTAAGTGCCGTTGTACGCACTACGCAGCCTTAAAAATAAATTATGAATACGCAGCTACAATTCACTGCAGAATGGTGCTTGAAAAACAACGTGCTGGCGTTTCAGTTGAAAGAAATAACCGAGTGGGCGTGAAGTGGGTAAGTTGAGAAAATGTCCGGGCTTTCTGGGAATTTCAAGGGGAGGAACCCAGGCACCCGCTAGAAGTGCGAAACAATGCAAAGACGGAAAAGGGTTAATGTTGCCTTCAAAATAAAAGCGTTTTGTGAAATCTGTTGTTAAAATCATTAAATAAGTATATTTCATGAAATAGCCTCAAACGCAAAATGTTTATATGCTCAGTAAAAAAAGTTATGAGATACAAAGTCAAAGTTGTGATCTGGTTAAAATGTCTTTTACTTTTATTAATACTTTTCACTAATATCTCCAAATTGTGTTGACCTGGTGAGTCTTCAATTTGATTTAATGTCCTGAGTTTTACTCATGTTGTTTTGATGTAGTAGTTCAGAAATTCTATTATATTGCAAGAAGGGACAGTGATATACATAATAAAAGTCTACACATGGTAAAACTAAAATGCTAGAATTTGCCAAAATGACATTTGTTCGAGGGTCCTTGGCCAAGGTTTAACAAAAGGCTTCCTAAAGTACTCCATAGTAAAACCTAAACTTGGCATGTCGTTTAAAATGCTTATTTGAATACGTCATTATTGGCTTAAACAGTAGAAGGCCAAATCAATAATTTTGACATTATATCTCATTTGAATAATAATAATAATAAATGTTATTTGTAAAGCACCTTTCATTGCTAAAAGCAATCCAAACGTGCTACAAGAGGCATTAAATACATTCTTAAAAACACAAGTTTAATTTTAGTTTGATTTGTATCTACTAACTCAAAATCATTTGACCCAGTAAGTTGCAATTTTGCCTTACCATCTAACTTATATTTGTGGAGGTAATGGCTCATAATTAACTGACATTTTGAGTAGTCTAACTGTGTTTCTGCAACCATAAGATTGATTAGGTAAGTTGTTATTATGGAGCAGTATGACGTTTCTGACTTACTGTCATAATTTAGATTTAGATTCTGTTTTGCTTTATTTTTGTGTTTTTTTTGGAAGCTAGATCATTTACAGAAGACCTATACCAATACGCCTGCTTTTCGATAACTAAGTGAATACATGATGCAGTATTATAAAAATTGTAATCCAAAACAAATAAACATCATAACAATAATTTTTAAATCTCTCACTCATAATGACTTGTTCATTTTATTTTGTAGGTTTAACCGGAACTGTGTGTTCCTCGTGCCGGGTACAGCTTCACAGCGGGGTCGGAGCGGGACTCCGGAGTCCGGATAACACAGCTGACAGTTGGTAAAACTGGGCTAGGTTAGTTGTCTGAACACTTTCACACTGTAGTTCATTTATCGATCGTCATATATTCCCAGTTCAACACTCCGAGAGGGCAGATTCTTTATGAATCTAACAAAGAGACTCTGCCGTCACCATGCTGAACACATCCACACTTTGCCTTTGTTTGTTGACTGTGTTGGGAACTGTTTTCTTGGGAACTTGCTCATCGGAGGCTAACCTTAAAGGTTTCGGTAAGTAACGTTACCTACCTCACCCTACTCCGACATTTTGCTTTCATTTCTGTGTCCTTTTTCTTAATTGCAAAGCCGTTTCTGCCTCTCAGTTGTTCGGCTCTGCATGATATTAAGTTCGTCCACAGAAGCGCGACAATGAGTCCGAGGACAATAGCGTCAAACCTGCCGCAGTCACACGGCACACACAAAACACAGAATTTAGTTCAGGACTTGGTTAGAAGTTTGAATTTGTTCCCATCCCCCAGTTAGTTTTAAGATGGTCATATTTTGACAGGTCAAGCAAATTGCATACTCATCCCCCCCTCCCCATAGTAGCTCTGTGGGAGTCATGTGTAGTCTATCATGTCGGCTGAGATACAGTTTACAGTGTGTCTTTATGCTCCATATTGAGCTGTTATTACCCATATTCACCCAGGTTATTATATACCCCTATTTACTGTTAATTGTTTTATTGATTCAAGTGACTTTGGATTACCCAAGCAAACGATGTTTTTTATTTTCATTTTCGTTTTTACGTGTCGTATCTTATTCTGATATAAATATACAGAGGGTGGGTCTATGTGGCGCAACTGTAAAGCTTTCTTTTGTTTCATCTGAACGGCTCACTGCATGTTTTAAATGTGAGATAAAACAGATTTAATGAAAACAACTACACCTAAATATGTAGGTTATCTGTATATTACATTCCAAATTGGAATTGGCCTTAAAACATGACCTTCAAGTGTGAGTTTTTAATATAGTGCCCATATGTTTAAGTCAATTATTTCCACTGTTTTACATATAGTTAAATCCTCAGATTGATGGGCAGTTTCTCCATAGATTTTACTTTGTTGACAAATGCAGGCCAGCCATCATTGTTAACCTGCAGACATTTCCTTAGGGTGGTTCTAACATTTATTTTATTTGATGATGTCCACCAACTTCTATTACAAATACTCTTTATAATCTCTTTGGCAAGACAATCTCTTCACAATTTAAAGGAAGCAAAAGACAATAAAGGAAATAATAAAATTGCCATTAGTTGTGTGGTCTCCCCTCCTTACTGCTAAATGTTCGAAAATCCTCCTAAAATAAATTATTTCAATATACTTAATTGTAACTGCTGTTTTTTTAAAATTTGTATTATGGATCTCAGTATGTGATTGTGTCCTGATGGCCTTACACGATCACAATAATGCACCGATCACTATAGACTGGAAAACCAATACCCTCTGCATCTTCATGGTAACAAAATCTGTCTGATCTCAAACTGTAATGTTCTCAATTTCTTTCCCATCACCGCAGATGAGGATGCTTTCTCCATCCAGCACTCAGATGGCTGTCTGGACACAGTTGCTCCTAAACAATTGAGTCTCGCCTCCTGTGACCCAAAGAGCAAGTCCCAGCGCTGGAAGTGGGGTTCAGGTCATCGGCTGTTCCACTTAGACTCGTCCCTCTGCTTAGCGTTCAACGTGAGCTCCAAGTCGCTGTACCTGGACGACTGTGGCTCCAACATCCTGCTGTGGTGGCGCTGCCTGGATGGGGCTGTTTACACCGTTTATCAGATGGGCCTGGCGGTCAGCGGCGGGAAAGTGGTAGCCAAACGGGACGCTAATGACAGTTGGGTAAGGGGAGGATCCCAGGACAACATCTGCCAGAAGCCGTACCGTGGTGAGTGCTGGTTATTTTGTCCCATCTGAGAGAGAAGATGCTTACAGACTATAGATCTGCTTAAGTGCTTCTTGCTGTCCATAATGGAGCTCTGACTGAGTTATCATCTGAGAGGTGAATGTTGTGTTGAAGGCAGTTTGTGTTGAATGTGAAACTCCATTACATTTTATCAGAATCCACTTCCTCATATGAACCTTGTGATATGTTACAGCTTTTAATGACTGATTGAGCTTTTACTGACTGGTTGAGTCACATCAAACAGGTTCTTGTGCATTTTAATTAGCGTTCCTGTCAATTTGTACTACTTTATGCTCTGTAACAAAATGGGTGTGTCAAATTCTAGGTTAAGGAACACGAATTCTTCTGAAACCGAGAGTGACTCTGTGTTGTTTGAATATTTGGGTACTTTCTTTTGCAGTGCTTTATGATATAAATATACGGTGGGTGTAAGTGGAACAACTTTAAAGCTTCCTTTTGCTTTTGTTTCGTCTGAACTGCTCACTGCATGTTTAAATGTGAGATAAAACAGATTTAATAAAAACAACTACACTTAATGTAGGCTATCTGTATATTACATTCCAAATGATCATACAGGTGACGTTTGAGGGGTAATCATTTTATATTTTTGAAAACTGCACATTTTTACTATCAATGGTAGTTAACTGACTTTGATAGAATTGCTGAATTTTAAGTGACAGCTATAATAATATACAAATAATTATAGTTTTTTTTTATTATATAGTTTTTTGTTAAAATATTAAAGCTGATGTCTGCATCAAGAACTGAAAAAAACTCACAAGCAGATTTCTTTGTTTTTGAAAATATCACTTACAGTATTTAGATGTACACTAATTTCTGAGGACCCAGAATATGAGTATGATAACAAGTGGCGCATGCTCTTTATAACTAAACCTTAATACTGGGGGGGGGGGAAATGGACTAGCATTGACGATGCATGAAAGAGACGATTCTCATTTCCTATTATTAGAACTCGTTGTGTGTGCAACGAGACACAAAGCTTCCCCTTAACACACTGTCCTGTCATGTTTTAGTTTTTTCTTAGAAATTACACCCATACCAGAGGCGAGAAACTAGTGGTTGACTTTGCTCTTTGCTCCCCTCTCTCTCTCTCTGTGCAGTTGTCCACACCACCGATGGGAATTCTGCCGGCTCTCCCTGTGACTTCCCCTTCAGACACAACGGCAGCTGGCATCACGGCTGCCTCCCAGATGCAGATTCCCCCGGACTGTCCTGGTGTGCAACCTCATCGGACTATGACCTCCAAAAAAAGAGGGGACACTGTCTAATACCTGGCATGTTTTTTTATATTTAATATATATTTCACAATTGTTGGCCTTTTTACTAGACATTGACGAGTCGACAGAGAAAGTCAACAGTACTTAGATCCTCACATTGACACCCTCACTGTCTCTTTGACCCTGCAGAGACGGGTTGCCAGACCTTGTTTGCCGGACCGGAAGGGGATTCCTGCTATGAGTTTGTTTCCAGTGTGGCAGTGAGCTGGCACGAGGCTCTGGATTCATGTCGCAGTCAAGGAGCTGATCTGCTCAGTGTGTCTGAGCCCAATGACCTCCACTCCAAGACCCGTAAGAGTGATACGCTGCTCAGTGCTTCTTCTTCACCTTCATCATCTTTTCTTTGTCCACTTACAAGCTGAACAAATTCAGAAACTCAAAATAGTCAAAGCAATTGGCTCGTAATGAAACGCTCTGATATGAGAGGAATGCTCGCCCACAGATTTAGTAAAAAATATAAAAGATAACCTCCAAGCTGTCTGGGCTACAAACTACCTTACTACGCTTATATATATATCTACTGGCCTCGATCTGTCGAAGATGAGACATTATATTTATGGTTTCATTGATATTGTTTCATTTTGAAGGCAACCCCTCCCCCATCTGTTTGTCTATTTTAGGAAACAAAACAGAAAGAGTAAAATAGATCTAAATATTTTTTATTCAAACTAAACAGGTTCAAGATTAGCGATGATATGAGTTATAAAATGTATTGTTATTATTGCTAAATATCAAATTATCTCAGTGAATAGTCTTTCATTACAGTATTTCTTTACAGTACATCATGTTTTCCAAAAATAAGGTTAAATCTCTTTACCCACGTGTTTGTGTGACTTGAGTTTTCTTTTCTCTTTTATCTTCTGTTCACTGTCTCACTCATCCGCTGAGAACAATTTAGGTTGGTTGAATGTTTTAAACAGTGTTGTAGGCTGAAGGATACATTTGAGTCATTAGTCATGTAGACTGTACTAGCTGTTTCTTTTGTTTAAGATCATCCAACATATCTCATGTTCTTAAGATAAAGCCCTTAACTGTTTTTAGAGAGCAGCAGCAGTTGGAAGCAGCATGCTCCATTTCGCTGTTGACTTGTTTCAGGAAGTTGAAAACCACATGAAAGTTAAACCACAGCCAAACTAGTTCCCTTTATCAGGCTGTCTATCCTGAAGCTACATTATAACTCTGTGCAACCAAGTTTATTAAAAAATCCATCAACAAGTGTCAGTTTTATGTTCTTGTTTGGCTTGTTAGCTGTATGTACTTTTCTTCTCAACAATCATCAGACCGTATGATCATGATTAATTTTGTCTAAGTAGACTAATCATTGTTTATGTAAAAATGTCTTTCCCTTTGTGCTGTGTGGTTGCATTGTTCAGTTTTGAACGGCCTCGACAGAATGCCTGAGAGGATGTGGATCGGCCTGCACCGGTTAGACACGTCTCACGGCTGGCAGTGGTCCGATGGTTCCCCTCTCTCCACCCTGCGCTGGGAAACAGGTGAAGCTGGAAATGTCTATTTTTTCTCTAAATAAATGTCATGTAACCACAGCGATCTAAGATGTGCAAAATGAATAAAGAACGGATATAAAGGTCAACAGTCCTGCAAACAAGAACAGATGTAGCAACTTAACTTGTGGATATTACACCCTGCATCGTGTTGTGATGTGCTGCTGCCGATGTCCTTCTATAAACTGAGACTTGGTGTCAGTCAGTGAAACAAAGGGGCCTGTGTTGTAAAGAAGCTCGTTGTGCCTGTTTTTTGGGCGCAGTGTGGCATTGGGATTGTTACTGTTGCTGAATAACTCATTAATAGTACTGAATGGAAGGCTTTATAAGGCCCTCTAGCTATTGTAATATGTTAGTGTTTTCTTGTCAAAGGGAAGATGTTGTTCTTACACTGCAGTGTGAACCTGAAGGCTACGGTAGCCAGCTGGTCTTCTGCTGATACGAGCTCATTGTGGTTGAAACTTACAACGTGTCAGCTTCTCAACAAGCAGCACTGTGTGTGGCAGTTATTGTGACATTTAGTTTTTTTTAATTCCACATCTCTTTGTGAAACACTTTGGTTTAAATAAGCAAGATACCCAGATGTAAATGCATCTCCTGGGATTTTATTTGTATTCATTGTATGTGTGACTGTGTTTTCACAGGAATGCCGTACCTCCCCATCATTCGTGATTATGACTGCGGAGTCCTGAACTCTAAACAGAATTACGAATCTGAGTCGTGCAACCAACAACTACCATACATTTGCAAGAAGAGTTTCAACACATCTAGCACGGAAACCACAGGTGATTAAGCTGCCAGACGCACTCTCTGTCTCTTCTGAATCATATAAGTATTATTAGGAGTCTACAATCATGCTAGTTGCTCTTCAAGGCTGTACTAAATGCATGCTGATAATGCTAATGTTGATATGTTAGGCAGATGTTATGTTCACCACCTTAGTAACCCAAAGTGCAGCTGATATCATTATGTCTGTTTTTCCTCGCAATCCGTCCAATAGTTCAATACAAATGTAATTCAAAGCCATAAAATGTCAACTTCATGAACCATCCAATAGTTATTTGACTATTATACTGTCCAATACAACAGGGCCACTGTGTCAGATGCAGAAGTTCCATGCAGCTTGTAGCTATAATTCATCCAACATCACCAAAGTGGGTTTGTCCCCACATTCCCTGGAAGGTTAAGGGCAACATTGATATGAATACTTTAGGCAATGCTGTTGTTTTGCTTCTCCTTTTTATTTTGTAATTGCGGTTGGCAATCAGCATATCAGGTGCAAAAAGCCTCCTGTATTTTTGCTCACTTTATATAGTGTCAGTGCTGCATTTTCTCTCTTTTACATTCCATTATATGTGCCTGTGACCGCATGTTTGCAATAGCTCTGTGACTCTTTTGTCTCCTTTGATCCAAATTTGTGATTTCTGGAGACAACATCGACCTGACTTCCCCTAACAGCCTCTATCTGTCTCGCTCCCTCTCTACAGGCTCTTTTGATTACAGTGAAACAGAGTGTGCAGAAGGTTGGGTCCCGTGGAATGGCTGGTGTTACAAGTTATTAAAGGATAACCCTCGCAACTTTACCGATGCCCAGATGCACTGCAACCACACTGAGGGGGGAGGCTCTCTGGCCAGCTTCCACTCCATTGACAGCAAAGAGATGATCAGCACTAATTTCAACGCAGGTACATTTAAACAAAATTCTCTATGGCTGGCTTTACACCCACGGCCCTATCAGAAACGTGGCTATCAGAAACATTGCACGACGTGTTTTGGAAGTGATATGGTCTTTGTTTACATTAGCAAGCATCGCTAACACTCAGAGCTAACGCTGTACTGGAGAGAGTATGTGTAAAAATGATGCGGGTTTACTCGTCTTGGGGTAAACCCATGAGAGTAAAAGCATTTGAGCTCCATACTGTTCCAGAAATAATCCTTGATGTGGTTTTGAACATGATATGGCGTTTAATCGCAGCAGCATTTAGCTGAGTATCTGGGTAGAATACTCCTGCATAAGCTTTTTTTTCAATTATGGACCCAGAATCAGCACTTTAGTAACAGGGCTGACATAGAGGGGTATGAGGCATGGCTAGAATGGGTGATCTGTTTGTTATTTTGAGCAAAACACTTCATATACATGTTTTTTTATATATTTGTATATATCTGAGACCTATAATACATGCCTAAAAATAGAATAATAGGAGACCTTTTAATGTTGCGATGTTTGCATCAGGTGACCAGATGTTGGATGTGTGGATCGGTCTGGTCGGTGCCGGCATGAACCCCACTGTGTTCAAGTGGATTGACCTGGCCCCCGTCACATTCACATACTGGGACCAGAACCAACCAGTCCAGCCCAGTGTGGATACCAGCTGTGTCTTCTACTCTGGACAGGTGTGTGTGTGTGTGTGTGTGTGTGTGTGTGTGTGTGTGTGTGTGTGTGTGTGTGTGTGTGTGTGTGTGTGTGTGTGTGTGTGTGTGTGTGTGTGTGTGTGTGTGTGTGTGTGTGTAGTAGTACGTAGTACGTAGTATAGTACTATACGTAGTAGTAGTAGTAGTAGTAGTAGTAGTTGTGTGTGTGTGTGTGTGTGTGTGTGTGTGTGTGTGTGTGTGTGTGTGTGTGTGTGTGTGTGTGTGTGTGTGTGTGTGTGTGTGTGTGTGAGGCCTGCAACATGAAATGAGTGTGTGTGCTCCACAGGCTCATGGTTGGCGGGTCGGGGACTGCACACAGAGGCTACCTTTTATGTGTCAGAAGAAAGGGATATTCAACGAATCAGCGAAACAGACCGGATGTCCCGAGGATGTGAGTATTGTCTAAATGACTTGATGTCCCAAGAGAAGTACATTTTTTTTGTTTTTGCTTGAAGGTAAATCTTTTGTTCATTTATATTGGGGGTGTTGCAGTATTTTATTTATGGTAAAAAAAATTGAAATATTGATATCATAATACTATTACATATACAGGTATAACATATAAATCAACCAGCACTCCTGAAAACATAGGTAACAGACATGATCATAGTAATAGATGTTCTGTATCCCTCGCTAAACTTCTATAAATTAAGTGTGATTAATTTGCCAAAAAGAGACAAACAGATATTAAAAAAAAGTTAAAAGTAAAACATTTCACTGATTGCCTTGTTTTGTAAAGATATAGCAATAATATTGTTATCTTGGCCACGATAATGCTTTGAGGAAAATCTGATATCTGGACAGCCCTAATTCATAACCATGATGTTTGCAAGTGATATCTTTACTTCCACACATGAACATCTTGCAATTTAGGTGCAAATAATAATGAAGTCATGGAAAAGTATGGTGTGGCCATCAAAACGTTTATTTTAAGGATTACTTGCTGTCATTATAATATGACAAATAGTCTGTTTTTGAGTTATAAAGAGGCTATAGATCAATCTGTATCAGCAGCTATTGCCTGAACGTAAAGAATGTGTTAAAGCAAAAACAAAACTATCATGGTTGACTATTGATGTTAATTATTACACTCCCACCACCAGGACTGGATGTGAATAAGAACTTGGACTTTGCATGAAAATGTTGTGCTTGTAAATTAAATGTAGCTGAAGTCTTACTCCTGTCACCTGTCCCCAGGGTTGGAGTAGACACGGAAACTCCTGTTATCAAGTGAACACCAAACAGGTGTCTTTCAAAGATCGCTGCAACGTCACTATAAACAACAGGTAAGAGTTCAGCTGGTAACTCTACTGCCTGATCAAAAATATGCTTCAGTTTACTTTCCAGTATTCTCATGTTTGTCTTCTCTTTCCAGGTTTGAGCAGGCCTTTATCAGCCGTCTACTTGGAGAGCACATCACCAAGGATCCTCCGTTTTTCTGGATTGGGCTGCAGGACATTAAGAACTCAGGAGAGTACCAGTGGATGGGTCAGAATGAGTCCACGGGGGTCGTCACATACACCAACTGGGGCTGGTTCCAACCAGGTTGGTAAAACTCGCTTATGCTTCTCTTGGTACATACTACATACATAGCACAAGACTGGAGGACAAGCCCTGGTTTAACAGAATAATGTTTATTTTATTTATTCAACAGAATGTATTAATTGAAACTTAAAGGGTTTAGACTTTAACACCAGCACTTACAATAGTTTGGCTTAGTTGAAGCAAATATTCCTGCATTATTCTTGTTGTTCTGAGTTTTTATTTTTTTTATTGCACTTATTGTAAATCACTTTGGATAAAAGCGTCAGCAACATTTAAATGTCTTATCAACAGAGGTATTTTCCATTTGCCTGCCCCCTCTCTCACCTTGACATTACACACAGAAGCTTTCCTCCATATTATCCTGCATATAGACATAATATTACTAAGTGTCGCTTTTGAGAGTCACATCAAATGTAACTTCTCACATTAGTGATTGCATAGTGAATCAAGTTGAAAACAAAGCAGATAAAGACACTCATGAGTCAATTCTTGGTGTGTGAGACTCATGGCTAATGATGTTATTATGTGCTGCATTTCAATTTGGATCCCTCAAAAATATGGAGGTTCAGATTTACTCATACAAAAAAAAACTTTTATCATTCTCTTTTTCACGTGCAGTATATTAAGTGTAGGTATGTGAATGTCTGCTGTCTCCAAAGCAGGGGTCTGCAGCCATTTTGATATGAAGTGCCATTACAAAACAAAATTGTTGTCAGCGTGCCGACGATCGTGAATTATCACGAGGGGGGGGGGGTGGGTTGAGGAGCTTGACGCTTGTGAACTGTCAACAGGAGGGCGGGGGAAGCCTCGCTGCGGGGAAGCAGTGTGTGGACCTGTCAGCGCAACTTATATGATGCCGAATTTAACAAACACATTTAGATAATTGGTTTAAACGGCATAATAACAAGGACGGTCGTCCGTTCTGTGATTATCCAGGTCACACATGTTATGATATTAGGGTCATGCAGAGTGAGAGAAGATCGCTGTCCCTTTAAGAGAGAGAGAGAGAAGGGTGTGGCGTTTGTGGTAGAGCGACAGTGAAGTAACGTGTATGTTTCTGGAAGTGAAACGAGGCAGCAGAAAAACAGAGGTCTGTGATGTATTTTGTGAAACAGAAGAACAGCTAAATAAATGCAACGGCCTCCCAAGAAGAGCTCGTCTCTCTCCAGGCATTTAAGCTAAAGTGGGTTATTGAACCTGAAGCTTGTTGCTTCTGCCCTCCTCGACTACGGTCTGGGAGCCGACAGGAAAGTTCAACACACAGATGGCCGGTCCGCCCCTTTGTAGCATATTATTTAGGTGAGAGATGAGCAGATCGCCACTGGGCTTTCAACTAAATACACACACCAGCCACGCAAAAACTGCGGCATTTGTACAGCTCCTTATGGGTACTGCAATTAGTGAAGTGCTTTCCTCCGTGGTGAAACGATCAGCACTGCGCCACGGAGGAAAGCGGCAGAAAGTCGCCTGGAGATAAAGAGAGCGGGGCTGCGTTGCGTGCATGGCTTCCTTCTGCAGGTAACGGGGAGACGCGCCCTGGCGGCGGTCTCGTTCCGAAAATAAAATTTAAATATTTTGCACCCTTATTCCACTTATTCCTAGTGTGCCACTGGTTACGGTGCCGCGTGCCAGGGGTTGCTGACCCCTGCTCTAAAGGTTAACTTGCATTAGGACAACAGGCCCACAATTAAATGAGCTAAAATATGCATTATTTAGAAATCTTAATCCAGCAGTCAAGTGCTTTGATGGTATATTTTCAAAAATACATGCAATTCATATGGTCAGGAATGAACTATATTAGCAATATTACACACTTGATTTAACTTTCTGTGTAATTCAGATCGGCATGGAGGCTGTGCAGTGATTTCAACTGAAAAACCGCTGGGCAAGTGGAGGGTGATGAACTGTACCAACTTTAAAGCCGGCAGCATCTGTAGAAGAGACCTCAGTCCTCCTCCAGCACCAGAACCAGAGCCAGAACCAAACCCCAATGCAACGTGTGCTAATGGATGGATCCCCACACGAAACAGTAAACACTGCTACAAGGTGTGTGTACTGTCACAGTTCATGTGTGTTCACGCAAACATTTTATGCATCAATATCTGTTTAAATATTTGCTGATGTGAAAAAAAGGTTGTGTTAAACCTTGTGATAAAATCCCTCAAGTGATGTAATTTCAGTCAGTGTTGTTTTAAAATGTACAAAGTAAGTAATCCTGCTCCTGTCTCTGCTCAAGCCTAGCAGCTCGAGGCAACATTAGCTGCTACTAGCACAATTCACCTTGGGGTTGCCTTGTGGGTAATGTAGTCAGCAGGTTATGACAAGACAGAAGAAGACTATATTTCTGACTCTAATGTTTCTAAATCTATTATTTTTTTTCATTGGGAACAGATTGTTGTATTCAGTTGATCATATCGTTTACAAAGTACATTTCGAGTATGTTCTGCTTTTTCATTGGACAAATCTCAACAATTATCTGCCTTGTGTTTTTCCCATGGTTTTCTTATCGTAAACATTGTAACTACACTCTAAATCACACGAGCGGATTGTTCAATTGGCTTTTTTTACAATCCGGTCTGTCACTTTACTGGCACTGTTTTAGTAGCTGTTGTAAATATTTGTTTAACCTTGTCAGGTGTTTCATGAGGAGAGGCTGAGCAGGAAGCGCTCCTGGGAGGAGGCTCACAGGTTCTGTGAGGCCCTGGGAGCCCACCTGCCCAGCTTCACAAACAACGACGAGATGAGGGCCCTGCACAGCATCATGAGGGACAGCATCAGGTATACACACACTCCTTGATTCCATCACTTTAAGCATTCATGTATTTTTCATTGGTTGTTTTTCAGAACATTGTGACATAAACACATCAGAAGTAATTGTTGCCTTAAAGGGGACCTATCATGCAAAATGAACTTTTGATCTCTGTTTTTCATAAATATGTGTCCCCGGTGTGTCGGGGAACTCACAAAGTGTCAGAAAACAAAACCCTCTCTCTTTTCCTCCGTACCCAAATCTCTAAAAACGGGGGTGCAACAGAGCTGATCCAGATTTGCATCCGATATGACGTAATATCGGAAATGTGGACCCACGGCACTATCAGAAAGTTGCTATCAGAAACAATGCCCGACGTGTTTTGGACGTAACATGGTCTTTGTTTACATTAGCAAGCATCGCTAACACTCAGAGCTAACGCAGTACTGGAGAGAGTATGTGTAAAAAAGCAGGAAATAACAAAAGGAACTCACCTTGTAGTAAACCCGCAAGAGAAAAAGCATTTGAGCTGCTCAAATGCTTTTTCTCTTGCGGGTTTACTACAAGGTGAGTTCCTTTTGTTATTTCCTGCTTTTTTACACATACTCTCTCCAGTACTGCGTTAGCTCTNGTCCAAAACACGTCTCATTGTCTCTGACAGCAACGTTTCTGATTGGCCCGTGGGTGTAAAGCCCGTCCACATTTCAGATATTACATCATATCGGACGCAAATCTGGATCAGCTCCGTTGTTCCCCCGTTTTTAGAGATTTGGGTACGGAGGAAAAGAGAGAGGGTTTTATTTTCTGACACTGCGTGAGTCTCCTGACACATCGGGGACACACCGGGGACACATATTTATATATAAAAGACATTAAAAAGTGCATTTTGCATGATAGGAGACCTTTATAAACTAACAGACGGACTCCATGTTGTTTGAACTCACGGCAGCTGGCAGGGGGGCTGATGGGGGCTTTGCAGTAAAAAGAGACTCCGCTCTCCGTCGGCCTTTTGTATTTCTGACGCCCTCCTCTCACTCTGTCCATCCGAACACCTGAAACACAGAGGGGGGGGGAGGTTACCTTTCAGCTTCATCAGCTTCATCTGCTTCCTCCTTTCCTCTCTCCACAGCTTTTAAAGGTTTTCTACCGGACAGAAACACCACGATCTGAATCTCTGCAGCCGAATGAAATATAAAATCACTACAAATCAGCTATAACTTTTCTTGGCTACAAAAAGTATCTCTCTTACGACGTTAGGTCTTTGCTGTAATTCCTTTTTTGTCTAGAATGTTTGAAAATTGTTTCGTCACTTTATGGTCAATGTGCATCTCTTGTTGTCACTCCTCCTAACGCTTTGATTCCCTGAAGTCTTGATGTCTTTGAGGACATTTTGAGTTGTATTTGTACAACTCAAAATGTCCTACTTAGTCCTTTAATGTCTCTGTTGTATTTTTGTATCCCTTTCTGTCTCTTTGTAGTTGTTTTGTGTTCATTAAGAATCATTTAATGCCTCTTGGTAGTCATGTTGTTTCTCTTTGAAGTTGTTTTGTGTCTATGTTGTTGTTTTGTGTCTCTTTATAGTCCTGTTCTGTCTTGGTATATTTGTTTTGTGTCTCTTAGAAGTTGTTTTCTGTCTATTGTAGTCATTTTCTGTCTCTTTATAGTAATTGAATGCCTCCTTTTAGTTGCTTCGTCTCAGCAAGCGTTGAAACTGAGCCCTCTCACTCCTATCAGACTCTTGACGTCGCTGCAAAGGCTCATGGGAGTTGAACGTACCCTCCCTCATCATGCCGGCCTGCAGACACTTCTGGAAGCGGCACGCCTGACACGCCTTCCTGCGGCGCTTCGTGATCTCACACTCGCTCGCCAACGGGCAACTGTACTCAATTTTACCTAGTCAAAAACAAACAGGAAGTCAAACGACATCACATCCTCTCTCCGTGACACAGCTGACAACACAACGTTTTCATCATAACTTCAACAAGTGCACTGAAAAACTGTAAACGTTGACTTTAATAAGGTTTTATGTCAACTGATTTCACATCATCAACAGCACACCAGTAAGATGTGAGGGTCTCGTCTACTAGGAACATATGAAAGGTTTTCATATTTCAAAATACCAATAGTTATACATGTGTGTCTTTGTTTTCGCAGAGACTGGCTGCTTTAAGGCGATATTTGAGTGGTGCATTGAACCCGTCATTTGTATTAAATGAAGCATGATCACATCCCGAGAAAACACATGCATCTGCAGAGGAAGTACATGCTTCGGGTACATCTTTTCATTTAGAGGAACAGCTCGAGGTATGATACACGGTTATACAACATGTTCCTTGTTCTAATCCTGCTGACATTAACCAACAACAACAACACTATAATAGAATGTCTTGAAGTAAAAAGTACAAATGTTCCCTCTGAGAAGAAGTAGAAAGTAGAAAAGGAGTGACCTCAATTTAAGTTCTCAGAGTCGTTAATCTGTACCGCCTCTTTGCTCGCATGCATGTGTTTAAACCAGGGGTCGGCAACCCCTGGCACGCGGCACCGTAACCAGTGGCACACTAGGAATAAGTGGAATAAGTGTGCAATAATATTTAAATTGTATTTTCGGATCCTGAACGAGACCGCCGCCAGAGCGCGTCTACCTGCAGAAGGAAGCCATGCACGCAACGCAGCCCCGCTGACTTTCTGCCGCTTTTCTCCGTGGTGCAGTGCTGATCGTTTCACCACAGAGGAAAGCACTTCACAAATTGCAGTACCCATAAGGAGCTGTACAAATGCCGCAGTTTTTGCGTGGCTGTGTATTTAGTTGAAAGCCCAGTGGCGATCTGCTCATCGAAATAATATGCTACAAAGGGGCGGACTGGCCATCTGTGTGTTGAACTTTCCTGTCGGCTCCCAGACCGTAGTCGAGGAGGGCAGAAGCAACAAGCGGTTCAATAACCCACTTTAGCTTAAATGCCTGGAGAGAGGCGAGCTCTTCTTGGGAGGCCGTTGCATTTATTTAGCTGTTCTTCTGTTTCACAAAATACATCACAGACCTCTGTTTTTCTGCTTCCTCGTTTCACTTCCAGAAACATACACACGTTCCCTCACTGTCGCTCTACCATCCACACACACACATGCACAAGCCACACCTCTCTCTCTCTCTCTCTCTTAAAGGGACAGCGATCTCATCTCACTCTGCATGACCCTAATATCAGAACATGTGTGTTCTGGAGAATCACAAAACGGACGATTGTCCTGATTATTATGCCGTTTAAACCAATTATTTAAATTAGGTAAATGTGTAAGTTTCATTGACAGGTCCACACACTGCTTCCCCGCAGCGAGGCTCCCCCCGCCCCCCGGCTGATAGTTCACGAGCGTCAAGCTCCT